TAACCTGCATTGCTATTCCCTGAGTTATAGACAGTCCCACGCAGACATGATTAAACATTTCCGTATGGTACGTGGCTTGACCTGCGCTCTCCTCCATAATGAGTTTTTCAAACACACCACTATAACTCATATCCGGGGACGTCTCTGCAAACTGTGCCATAAGGAAGATGGGATGTGATGAAGTTTTTTCTAATGGACCTGCAACCGTGGCAAAACTTACCCGAGGCGATGGCTTTATCCAAATCGATGGAGATATTCAAACACGGACTTGATATCCATATGCTGCAGCACAGCGTGGATTATGGGACAAATTGATTCTCGAACCTGTTGGCGCTTCAGGTTATTAAGGGAAATAGGCATGAGCTTTTGAACATTTTTTTAACAACACAGGGTCAGTCGGTTGACTTATTACTGTACTCACTAAAGGAAGCTTAACTTAAGAAGTCGCGTGTATGGAAAGTCTGATGTCTGACAAACGTGGTGGACTCCTATTTATCTTAAGTTCCGCTTCGCGGAGTACATGCATGTAGAGTTCTTTTTCCGATGTATACATGATGCACACCTGAGTCTATTAAAGCTTATTTTAAAGATTTTAGAGCATATCTACATGCGAGACATAAATTTTATGCTGTTATCGTCTAAACATTGTTCGTTCCAAGCTCCAAGAGTGGACTGCATTGACTCAATAAAACTGACACTCTTTCTTTGTTTTAATGTACATTAGTTTTGATCCCCCTGGACCGCAGAGCTCGCGCAGGTCATGTACCTCTCCCATTTTTGCGTGATCGGATGGGGGATGTAGATACGTTCTTCTTAGCCAACAATCGAATAAAAATGTCGGTAAACTGAAAAAAATTAGGTTTGAATCCCACCTTCATTCATACACTCAAGTAGCTAAGAGTCTCTATGAGCCAACCACCCATCCGTATCCTGCGTAGGCCGCCTATTCAGGTGAATAATCAGGTTGCCGACAATGTGCAGTAAGTATACGTTGGTTTCAAGTAGTTGGCTGCCTTGCTCCTTACTACATGCGGATTTGTAGTCATGACTACTTTCTATGTCATTTATAAATCTGTCGTTTAATCCGCTTTAGACCAACTGTTCCAACAAAAACCCTCGAGCAGCGTGAGGCGGACTACGCGGCTGCTAGGCGTCGAATAATGGGATCTGAGTCCGAAGATCAACCTACGGTTTCGGAAGGGTTAGTTTTTACCTATACATTTACGCATGTAGATCTGGGTTACCAGCTCCGGTAACGAATACGGCAGAAAACGGGCCAGCCACCAAAACCACTGGTCCGTCGGATGACTCGGACAACCAGAAACAGACGTCTACAAAACCTCCCCAGACCGCTATTCCGTTAATGTCCATCCCCACAGCGGCTTTGTCCATTCATACTACATTGGATCGGGGTCTTCATACCACTCCTCGTCCGGTTAGTGCGGTGCAGATGCCAACGAAAGCTCTTTGCCAAACGGGCGTCCCACAGTTATCTGCTTGCGGCCCCGTTAGCCCCCCAAAACAACAATTA